TACTGACTTCTAATGAAATCTATTTACTAAGCATTGCAGTGCTTCTAGACGGTCTGTAAAATAGCGGTGTCGTCTGCGAATCTTATTTTGTTCAAGATTTTTCCGTTTATTGATATACCATGTTGTTCCTCTGATATTGCTTCCTTAAAAATAGCTTTACTGTAGGATTAAATTACAATGGGGACAGCACGCAACACTGTCTAACACTTGTCTATCGACATTTTCTATTCTAACCTTTGCTTAAAGTATTCTTTGCCAATTCCAGTACAGATTGACAATAACCCGTATATCTCGACTATCTACATTCTTTTCTTTTAACAGTTTTACGAGTTTCTGATATCGTACTCTAGCAAAAGCCTTTTGACAATCTATAAAGCAGACATAGATATCCTGGTTCATATATAGTCGTCTTTGCGCGAGAACGTTAAAGGCTCTCTCGTTCTTAGTCCTCCTCTGAATCCAAACTGGGTGTCATTTATATCTTCTATTTTTTTATAGTCTTTCATGCATAATTTTGAGAAATATCTGACTGTGTGGCTTATTAAGGAAATTGTTCTGTACTGGGAGCATTCTGTTGCATGTACTGACTTTGGTAGTGTTACAAACGTGGACAGCAAACCAATCTTATGGTATTACTACTGTTGTATATACCTACTTTGTTGAACAGATCAAAAACTATTTTAAACTATCTAACCTTAAAATGTATTTTTATTATTAGGAAAAGAAAATGTTACATTATTTTGAACAAAACTTAAGTTACACACCTAGAACAAAGGTGTTTTGCTTCATTATCTTCGTTTTCTTCTCTAGCACAGAAGCGATATGCCCAACCATCGCATTTTCGGCACAATTATCATCTTTCATCGGATTACGACCAAAAGGTATCTTTTTCTTTATTTGTTTCTTTTTAAGACATAAAAGTTGTATCCAATCGCTCAGTGTTCCGTAGAAGTTATCTTTTATCAACGGACAAAGAAAAGAGATCAACCAACTAATAAAAACGAAATACATTCAGAAGGAAACATGGGCAGACTACTTTCGATCCCTATTTGACATTTACTTGCCTTTCAACATCATGTGAGAGAAATAACGTTCACCCCGTTCGCGAACTTCGATTGCGGTCCACTACTTTGACACCGGTGAAATTGTGGGGTACGTCTCTTTAGTAACTATCCGTTCTTTTATTTCTATACGAAGATATTACTACTGTAATCACATAAGTGATTAATTTTTATCAAATTTTTAGTTATTCTAGTAAATAGTTGAAGACGATAATTTGTCTAAGACAGTTTTACATTATGCTATTTTCATGCTAGGCAAGAGCCATGCAAGACAGATCATGGAACTGCGCATGCCCACGGGCTATTTCCATGCAATTCCTCATGATACTATAATATAAAGATATGATCGCAAAGTGTTTCAAATTCGTTCGATTCTGCGCATGACGTCAAGGGGTGACGATAAATGGCGCCAATTTAAAACAACGGATAACATGCTGACTGGAATCTTACGGAGTATTTATGTTAAATTTCTTTTTACGAGACGTAGTGATAAAATAATGGATGTAAACTTTTGTGAATTATGGATTTATTAAAGATAAACTATTTATAGGCTAATGTGAACTTTAAATAGTGGCGTTTTTATTAAAATTATTATGTCACACCAACTATGACATGAATAAAACCTTATTAACACTAAATTTTAACATTTTTTCTTATTAAAAAGATTTTTCGGATCTACAGTCCAGTCTTTGAAAGAAGGATCTGATTTCTTATTTCCGTTAGAAGTTTGGTCATTACATCTGCAACTTGTTTTTCAGTGAAAATTTGTGTCAAGGTTTTTTAGTTTGATTACGATGTCTTAGGTTATATATTCATAATTCTGCGAGATTATTTCATCATCGATCTCATTTTTTTCTAATTGAAAAATGTCTATATAATCAGTCATTTTTAAATATATAAAAATTCTGGGATACATATAGAGGTATTATCCTATAGATGCAATTGAACTGATTTCTGACAATTAAAAAATATTTTGAAAAATGGTACTATATTTTCTCCCTCATAACTAATCAAATAACCTTTGATTGAATTTTGGTCCATTTTCTTTCTTATTTGCACTGGAGCTTGTGCATAACAGGTTATAGTTATGATTCTTGGGTGATTTATTCTAGGCCTATTACCTATCCATAGCTTATGGGGACTTATGACTAAATTTCAACATAAAATAAATACTTACTTCTTTCCAAGATTTAATAGGTTTTTGGGTTAAATAAAAAATAGAAAACATTTTGTAAAACAGTTTATATTAGCTTTAAATAACAATATATTTATTATGTTCTATTTGCAAAACCGGAGAAATATTTGTAGTGGACGTCAAAACATATCGATGGTTGAAAGGTAAAAAACGAGTGAGGAGCACCTAAAAAAATTAGAAAATTAAAAAACTCGCCTTAAATGGAAAGTTGAGGACATACCTAAAGTAATAGTTGTTATCTATTCTGCCCGTCCAAGAGCATAGTTCATTCATCAGCATTAGTTCATTATTGAAATGCAAACATATGACACTCATATTTTTCTTAATCTTACAGATTGCTTTTAAAAAAGGATACGCTTTTCCTGTAGTTTCTTGCCTTCGATATTGGCTAAAACAAAGTAAAAATTGCTCCTGGCATATTAAAAAATGTGTTCAGTTTAATGAAATTCTCTGACATGAGCTCATTAGATAAGGTTGCTAGATTAATTTAAATTGTTTACAAAAATTTCTCATAATATTTTAGGTTACTTATGTTGCTTTGCGATTTGTACATATATTTTTTGCAAATTTTTAAAATTATTAGCTTCAAATAACAATATATTTATTATGTTCTATTTGCAAAACCAGAGAAATATTTGTAGTGGACGTCAAAACATATTGATGGTTGAAGGGTAAAAAACGAGTGAGGAGCAGCTAAAAAAATTAGAAAATTCAAAAACTCGCCTTAAATGGAAAGTTGAGGACATACCTAAAGCAATAGTTGTTATCTATTCTGCCCGTCCAAGGGCATAGTTCATTCATCAGCATTAGTTCATTATTGAAATGCAAACATATGACACTCATATTTTTCTTAATCTTACAGATTGCTTTTAAAAAAGGATACCCTTTTCCTGCAGTTTCTTGCCTTCGATATTGGCTAAAAAAAAGTAAAAATTGCTCCTGGCATATTAAAAAATGTGTCCAGTTTAATGAAATTCTCTGACATGAGCTCATTAGATAAGGTTGCTAGATTAATTTAAATTGTTTACAAAAATTTCTCATATTTTAGGTTACTTATGTTGCTTTGCTATTTATACATATGATATTTTTTGCAAATATTTATTGGAAGCAACCTATTTTCTACAATTTTGACTTTCAACCTTTCAGCTTTCAAAAGAAAAATTGTTTGAACCTAAAAAACTTTATGTCGTTCGCATAACACTTTTATTGGTTGTTCACACTACAACCTGCTACAGCACACCTCATTTTGCACCAATATTTTTAAATCCAAAATAATAATAAAATAATTTTAGAGTGAAAAAATCGTAAAAAGCTTAAAACCGTTACAATGTAAATGTAAACAGCTTAAACTAAATGTCGAGATCGTCACCTCTTGACGTCACTTGACGTTTAACAGGCCCGCCCACATCTGCGTGGTATCATATCTTCGCTTGTATGTATCATGGCAATTCCTGTGCTAGACGAAAAATTAGAACATGTTCTATTTTTCATGCAATTTTCTTGCAATTTACCGTTAAAATTCATGTTGCCAACATAACAATTTATAATAGATTACAGAATAAAACATAACCTTATCTCTATCTTTAACCCACATGTGTATTGCTGTGTTTTGATTTAAATTAAGTTTATTAAGTGGTGATAAATAGATATACTATGTCTAAAGTTAATGTAAAAACGACTGGGTGAGTCGTTGACTATGGATGATTGTTGCTACAACAGCAATATTCAACAATAACAATGTTTTCTTTTCTTTGGTTGACATCCTTCACCCTTTTAATAACCATAAATAGTGTACATTTATTTATTATATTATTTATTTTAGTACTTAATTATATTTTTTATTTAAGATAAAATAACCTCAAATTGATAAATATTTTCTCTGTTGGCAACAATGAAAGTGGGATCTAAAATTGCACAGAAATATCTTTGATGTAAAAAGGTCAAGCTAGGCAAGAGATGTGCCATGCAAGACGGACTTGCATAGCATGAGACTTGCATAGCCTAGATGTATCGCTATGTATCTAGCTGCCTTAATCGTTGCAGTTAAAGTTTATAAGCAATAAGTAGTTTCTTGAATGCATATAGTTGCAATATTTGTGTGGTCAAATTTAGAATGTTTTTTAATAGAGACCAATTTGCAATTGACGTTACTTTTTGTGCACACTATATTATGTTAGTGTTAAAGTAGTGAAACAATTTAGTTTTCATAATAGGATGAAAAAATGTACGGACTTATAAAACGAATGGTCCAGGTAGAGAATTCATAATACGCAGGTACCTATTTTTACAACGATAATTTGCAAGACTAATTTAATAAATAAATAATTTAATTCTAAATTATTACTACTTTTATCCACAAACTTAAAATTTTGACATAGAACATAATCTTTAAAGCTACTATTTCAACTTCAACTTTCAACTGTCAATCCTTAATTTCTGTGAAAGTTAACCTCGACAACAAACGTCAAGAAAAAAGTCAGTTTATTGTATTTTAATTATATTTTTTTACTTGTAATGATTCATTAAATCAGTAGTGTCAATAGAAGAAACCAAAGTACGCAGGTAAATTAACAATAATATTGAAGTTTCTTTTATGTACAATCTGTCAAAAGTTTGTTATCAATAAATAACCATAGTGCATGATTGTTCTAGATTGATCTAAATCTAGAATGTTATTAGCTTATCTGATTTCAGGAAAACAAACAAGTATGCAATCCGTCGAAAGTCATAGCTAACATCTCAAAATGTTCGGCTGGGGAAGTACTATTCATGGCGAATTAGGATTGGGTGGTGTTGAAGAGGAGTATATCATCACACCCACAAATGTAGACTGGTACTTGGCCAACACAGTCATTAAAGCAGCCTTGGGCGAAAACCACACTCTTCTGCTTACCAAAGAAGGGAAAATATACTCTTGTGGAAGCAATGACTATGGACAGTTGGGGCATGACCAGCCACGGAAGAGGCCACGTATGTCTTTATTTAGTATGTGCCCCATTTTGCTTTTTGGTTTGTGTAATGTTATTCATGTTTCATTTAGTGTATAGTTCATTTAATCACAACTAACAGAAAGTAAAATTTTACAATTTTTACCTAATAATCAATAGGAAAAAACCATAATGAACATGCAAAAGGATGATTGTAAACTTCAAAGACATGTGTAGCTGCAGGTATTTGTCAAATTCTTTGAAAATGATTTTACTCATTGTCATGTAAATCTCAGAATCAATGTTTGTAGTAATGAGTCTATATACCTAACTTATAATTACTTTAATGCTGTTTACTTTATAAACAATAATGCCTTAACATATACTGTGTATATATGTAGTATCTTTGATGGCAATACTATCAAATAATTAACCTAACCTGTCTTTACTAACAATTTATCAATTACATTTTCAAAAATAATGTCACCATTTGTAAAATATCACAAGATCTTCTCATTGTTTCTCCGTTCAGTGATCCTCCTATTATTTCTCATTTCTCCAATATGTATTTGTGGTTCTTTTTTCTTTTGAACTGCTCAACATTCAGTGCAGCACATACTAGTCTTATAGTAATCTTATATAATTTGATTTTCAGTCTCTGTTTACTTTTGTTTTGTTTTATAGGTTAATTTTCTATCTTTTATAAATATTTGGCATGGCAATATTAATTGTTGCTCCTAGTTCATGAACATTTTGTCCACTATTATTGCCAGTTTTAACTGCAGTTAAGTAAAGCACACTTGAGATATTATATGAAAGTTGTAGTCTGTGGCAGGTCTTTGTTGGCTAACTTAATTTAATCTAGTGAGCAATCTGTGAATAGTGTTCTCCCATGGAATTATTTTAAATAGAACACATTAGTCTATACTGAAATTATACCTAAATAATTTTGAAAATCAAATTGATATAGGCAGTGGAGGATATCAGCTTTACAGTGAAATGGGGGTTGTTTTGAAAAAGCCTGTGGTTCATAAGGAGCTGTACAGTCCTTAGGAACTACAGGTGCGTACTTACTCTAAGTAAGTGATGATGAGTTTTTAAAATATGTTAAAAAAATGTGTAAGTTATTATACTGGACACAGTTCAATCAAATCTAAATATAAGGCAGTTAGTTGGGCTCATTCCAACATAATACAAGATTAATACCTTTGTTTTCCTTTTATCCCTATTCATTCCTTGTACATCCCAGTTTTATTCTAATATTTGTGTGATCATTTGTAGTTATGATTGCTATTGATATTATTTATCAATATATATTTAATATTAGACATTGTGTGGATATGCTATGTTATGTGGGTATGTTTAGAGTTTTTTGTTTAAATGTTTCTTTGTCTTTTGTATTCCTTGGCTTTGTTGCTTTCCCGAGAAGTTGTATAAAACTCTGTATAGTTGATTTTGATCACTTTATTTTAATGGTGACTTATGAATTGAAATAATTTTATGACATACTTAATAATGATCTCAATAATAATATGAAACACAATACATATACTGTTCTACAGTGTTTTTTTCATTAACTAGGTGCAGTGTACAGTCATATTTAAGTTAAATCTAAATATAATTCACTGCTGTGTCACTTATTTCACCTATTTGTGGGTTTTGTTATTAAAACGGACAATAAAATTGGCATCAGGCAATAGACAATAAAATTGGCAAGAAAATAGGTTGGACACAGATTTTCAAAAAAATTCTTACTTGGAAATTATTGACATATAATGCGATTTAAATAAAAGTTTAGAGCCCAAATTAATTCCCAGATCACACATTTCAGTAAATCATTGCATTCAACACACACCACCCATTCAACTGATTGGGGTGATGTTGAAGATTAACACAATCTTCTGTATTATTGATAATTGTGTAGAACTTTATATCGTCCACAAAAAAGATGTGAACTGTGCTGGAAGCAGTGGTGTATATCATTGATGAATATGTTAAATAACAGGGGTCCCAAATGAGAACCCTGGGGTACTCCTGGATGAACCTTAATCTCACTGGAAACAAAATCCCTGATACGCACCATCTGAACTTGGTCAATCAAGTATGTCCTCAGCCATCTAAGAAGTGTCCCATCAACACCTATTTTTATAAGATTAACTATTAAAATATTATGGCTGGCCCGATCAAAGGCCTTGGAGAAAACACAGGAATGAAGAAAAAAATGCTCATGTGGTATTCATTGATCTTGAGAAAACAGTAAATATGTAAAAATTGTGAAAGAGATGTATGAGGGAGTAACAACTAATGTTAGGACAGGTGTGTTAGAGACTGTTGAGAATACACCTAACAAGGCCCTTTTTTTACTATTTTATCTCTTCCCAAAAGAAATTTTGAATGAAATTAGATTGGTACTAATTTGTTTTACTAAGTTTTGTACTAAGTTTTTGTCAAATGTCAAACACGGCACGTTTTGGGATGTAATGTCGTTTATTAAATAAAAGAATGATGTTAAACCACTATTAAGTTAATTTTTTTAATTTAAAAACAGTCATTGTAAATAAATATTGTTGGAACCATTCATCATTATCATTAAATATGTATCGTAGCACTGATAAATACTAACACAAAATGGGCAAGTATCATTTATTTGATTAACATTTTATTTTTTTATGTTCCAGCACTGTTATAGTCACTACTACTTGTTTGTACTTAACTTGCATGTAAAAATGTATTTATGAATCTATATTTAATATTCAATTCAATTGTTATGTCTATACACTGACTTATTACTAGGCCATTACTTGTAAGCTCACATTAATCTTAATTATTTGAATTTGTATAGTTTCACCTTGTATAATTGTGAAACATATCGATTAGCAGCTTAATTACAGTTTGCTCAACTTCCTGCAAACTATAGATTACCTAAGAGGTATTGAGGAAATGCTTGCAATCATTTCTTTAGTTCAAATTATATTTGCCAGCAAATATACCATTTGTCCAATAATATAAGGATACCTCATTAGTAAGAAATAATTCATAAAAATTTAAAGGACCTTTATCAAAATATTCACCATGTAGTTCTGCTTTTACCCCAACATCGATTTCAGTGAAATCAAGTAATTTCATATACTGTGCATGGTAAATTCTCACTACTATCAATGTGTTCACTTCCTTTATGCTCCGTCTTCACTTTTAAATTTCTTTCAATAACATCATTTATTGTTTCCATTACACTATCGGATCTGTTTCTTGATGTTCCAAAAGTACTTGATCGATTTATTAATTTTACTTTTTTTTTTTTAATTTGTTCATTGGCTAAAGTACTATCAGAATTACTAGCGAGAATCTTATCACCGGAATCTTTAAATGGTTTATTATTGTCATTATCTGAAAGATATTTCTTGTTCTTTTTCATAACTGGTTTTTTAAAGTAATAAAGATTTACACATAATGCATACACACTGAAATCGACTAACACCTACGGGCTAACGCATATACTACTTAAAGTGAAAGGTTTTTGTTCTATGCAGAGGTCTATACACTTTTTTGCTGAATCATATTATTTTAGTGAGATTATAAATATATCTTCGGAACTAGTTTGGGACGGAGTTTATTATAGATTTTTACCCCAACAACTTCTTCTTCTTTTACGACACTACAGCCCAAATTGAGACTTGGCCTCTTTATTTTTTGCCTCCACCCTTGCTTGTCTGTGGCTAATCTTCTCCATACACTGACTTCCTAAAAGGGCTTGTGCGTCACTGTTTACTGTTTCTTCCCAGAGCTTTCTTGGCTTTTAAACCGGTCTTTTTCAAAGAGCTCTGGCTCCCTTAGGAAACATTTTCCGACTAGATGAATTGGGTTAAAATTATGTTAAAAACTAAGGAATCTCCGGTTTTCATTTATCAGGAGAGTTTCTGGACACCGTGTACTATACAACTGAATTACTTCATTTGTTTAATTTGTTATTTCAAAATGTGTAAATATGTCTTAAACATTTTCTGTTTCAGCCAATAAATATCTTTGTTATTTTAGAACCGGTAGCAGGACTAGAAGCTCATCATATAGTAGGAATAACATGCGGTTCCAGACACTCCATGGCCTTGAACCAGTGGGGACAAGTGTTTTCGTGGGGATCGAATTTGCATGGACAATTGGGCTATGATACTGATGAACAAATCCAAGCAATACCGAAGACAATAAAGAGATTAGCTGCCTACAGTATAGTTCAGATTTGTTCGGGACAGAGGCATTCTGTGGCCTTAGCTAGCAGTAAGTCATATATAGATATTATTTTATATTGAAGTATAGCTGACTTCGCTAGCTATAACGTCAGCATAGAAGTTTTGCCTCAAAAATAATCAATATTTGTGTTGTTTAAAATAAAACAATGAATGATTTGTATTGTCGCCAAGTGCTTGGTCAGGGTGACCAATGAGCACTTTTTTCACGCATCGCCCCGCCTTCTTTCCTTTTCCTAATTTCTTATTGGTCTTTTGGTTTGGAATCTTCTAAAATATTGTGTATAAATATTAGTTGATTTCCAAACGAAAGGACAATCTACCTCGGTCTCTCCTAGAGCCCTAAACTCTAGGGAGCCGACTAGCGGAGCTCTGCTCCACCTACCTAAGACTCTGAGTTTTTGTTTTCTACTTCTACAAAATAGTTTTATTTTAATCATTCTTCAGCGTCGCAACATGTAAAAGGGATAAGTGTCTAGGGTATTTCACAAATCAGATTCACGAAATATCCTATACTACGTTCCACGTTTAGAAAATAACATTGCGGAGATAGGGCCATGTATTTCTTATGGACGATAGCAACGCGGCGTTGCCACGACACACACAAGCACAATTTAGGATTGTATAATTTGTATTTTTGTTTCCACAAACATGAATTAAATTAATGTTTTTTAACGTAATTGACCAAAAGTGCCCATTCGAAAACAAGAGATGAAAAGTAGGGAAAATGATTTTAATTAGATAAATAGTATTTACAAAAGATAATTTTATTTTATCTTATTTCAATTATAGTAACGACAGTTTATTTGTTTTTCGGTGAGAATACGATATGCCATGAATCATAGAAATCAGTAGAAAATATTGACCGCTTGGAATGCGTATATCTAATTACTAATTGCAACTTAAAATAATACGATGTGCGTATGTCAGCTATTTTATGTCATTCTCTGACTACATAATGATAATAAGGCTTTTATTTAGTAATTATTCTGATTTTACAGTTAAATGTTAATTGAAAATGAAAATTCAAAAATTAAGCAAAGGGAATATCTTGGACATCCGTGCAAAAGAGAGTGTCTGAGAGTTTTGGCAACACTGATCTCCATAAGCGTAATGTTATTTTCTTAACTTGAAACAAAGAATAGAGCAGAGCGTATGGTAGCAGACGGTTTTACCGTCATGTTACCCCTCCGATACGACAGTATCACTAACGGTGTTTTTTTTTGTAGGTGGTGAAATATTAACATGGGGGGCAAACAATTTTGGCCAACTGGGAGTAGGTCATCTTCCAGCTAAAGTGGAATCCAACCCGAAAATAATATCCACTCTGTTAGGTGTTCCCATAGCACTTGTCGCTTGCGGTGCTAACCATAATTTTGCCATATCGAAGTCCGGTGCAGTATTTGGTTGGGGTATGTATAACAAAACCTAAAAGTATTGATTTTTATTTGTTTACCATTGTTTGTTTCTGGATGTCGCATGATATATTATATCGAAACATATTCAAACCAAATGCTTTCTTGAACCAAGAGAAAACCTATTTACTAAATTTTCTACGACTTTTCTGTCAATAGTTGTGGCATAGACAAACAGACGAAAAGAATATGACATGGTTTCCTGAAGGATGTCTGATAAGGCGCTTCGCAATATTGTACATTTGTAATATTGACACTTCTAACAATAATTTTTAAGTTTTACAATGATTTTTTAGGAAAAAACACCCACGGGCAATTGGGGATCAACCATAACGAGAATAAAATGTTTCCGGAACATCTAAAAACACTTAGGAATATTAGAGTAAGATATATAGCGTGTGGGGAGGAGTTTTCTATGTTTTTAACGTTAGATGGAGGAGTTCTCACCTGCGGGTCTGGAATGTACGGACAACTAGGACACGGGACGATGAGCAATGAAATATTACCCAGACAGGTAAGGAAGAGTGGTACAATGGCCACCTTTCGGGTAAATTCAAGATAACTTTAATATAAATCATAATATATTAATAAGTATCAACGCAAACAACGCCAAAGCACTTGGTAAATTAAAATTGTAGTCAGTAATCCCAAAAAATACAGGATATGCAGCAGTAACTAATTTAGTATTTTCAAAAAGTGTGGCCACTGTACCAAACTAGATGGTACAGGGGCCACAAAGGTAAGGTACAGTGGTCATTTCTTGCAATTCTTAAATATTTTTTTGATAATATACAAGGCAAATATCGAGCACGGTATTAATTAAATCTTGCCCAAGTACTTTCGATCACTATATCATCTTCAGGGGCATTTCGTCAATTGCGGCCTATCCGACAAGAATAGAATGTCATAAATATAAAATGGGACATCACAATACACTACACAAAGACAAACACTTTAAAATTTTTGAGGAAAGGAGAAGCTACATGGTATATAGAAGCCGAAAACAGAATCCATTCTGTCTTTACTACTTTGAAGATAGATTCAACACACCTCTCAACAGGTTCTTATACAAAATGGTTTTGGAAACGATGGTGCGGGGGTCAAGCGTAATAAGCGAGTACTGTGACTAAAATTGTTAGGTTTTGTACTAGATGGCGCGTCTGTCTATCAAACAACAACATATTTAAGAGTGGTCACTGTACCTGACTGGCCACTATTCTAGCCTCTCCCCTAAATAAATATTCAAATATTTGTACAAATTTGATGAACATAAAATACAAAATTCTTCAGTAAATCAGATTTTTAGCGGATCTGTGGAGCTTTTACTTAACAGTGTATTTGTTTCTTGATCTTTAAGGTTATAGAACTGATGGGATCGACAATAACACAGATCGCCTGCGGTCGACAGCATTCGCTGGCGCTCGTTCCGTCTCGAGGAAGAGTGTACAGTTTCGGCACGGGCGGTTGTGGGCAATTGGGTGCCAGAAAAACGACGAATGCCTCAACGCCCCAAGTAGTTTTAGGTCCATGGGTATCTCCAAGTGGTATGTCACTCATTCCTGTAGCCCAAGATGTTAAAAATTTAGTCATCCATCGAATATTTGCAGGTAATTATATGTATTTTTAAATATTTATTTATAATTTACTTAACCCGTAACCGGTGACGTCCGATTTTAGGAACATAACCGGTGACGTGGAGTCTCCGGGACTCATCATAAATATGCTGGTCTCATTCAAATTTAAATAATTATTTTATCACATTGTTTATAATAATCTGTTCTTTAGGCATTTTTGCAATATCCTATTGCCTTTTTAGTTCTTTCTGTTACTGACTATTCTTATTATTAACATTTTTGTCAAAAGTTGCAAATAAATAAAGTACGGTGTTACGTCGGAAAACTTAATTTTTTTTAATATTTCTAAATTTGGTATGTACAAATGGTTTTAATATTAGGTATAACAAATATTGAATAATCTATGGTAATAAAAATTATCATCAGTAGTCTAAACGTAACGGAACGTGCAGGGGGTAAATAAGGACAAAAAAATGGGATTATTTTTTTTTATTCTTTTTGAACGTTACAGTTTCTGCATATTTTATGAGAACAAATCAAGCAAATTGGTTTTTTACAACAGACGCATAAATAAGATGTCTTCCTATGAAGTTTTGATGGGCAAATGTAGCAATACTTTCGAACTGCTAACCGATCTTCTTGAATAGAAGGAGGTTCAACCACGCACAGTATTCGCTTTATGTTTTCTCTTATTTCTGTCGGGATTCTGCTGTTATACATTCGTTGTTTCATGTGTGCTTCAATTAAGCTTTTAGCCAGTACCTTCATAAAATCTTTCCTGTCTAAGGGTTTGGATTCTCTATAACACTGATACATAACGAAAGCGTTAACTGTACTCATATCTAGTATTTTGTAAAATATAGCCATTGGCCAACGTTGCGTTCTTCTGGACGAACTGTAAACCGTACATTTTTCATCCAAAGCATCAACGCCGCCTTTCGTCATATTATACAGACTAATTATTTCTGGTTTTTGTGTTTTTTCATCTATGGCTATACTATGATGCATGGAGGATAATAGTATGACGGCTTTGTTTTTTTTAGGAACATACGAAAGAAGGGTAATGTCTTTTGTAAAACCGTATCTAACTGAACCAATCTCTCTATGCCTTTGAGGAAGAAACTCAGGAGGAATATGTCTTTTAACCTTTTTCATAGTTCCCACATATGTTAGGCCATTAGATTTCAACAACTGAACTAGTTCTATAGACGTGAACCAATTGTCAGCTGTCACATTACGATTACTGCCAAATAATGGCTTAGAAAGCCGTAACACAGATTGAGTAGGTTTAGCAAGCTTTTTCTCAGTTACTGAAAGGCCCATTCCGTCGGAATCTTGGCCTGTATATACATACGCATTGTACACATAGTTGTTTCTTGCATCTGTTAATATCATAATTTTAAGTCCATATTTTCGTGGTTTGTTTGGAATATACATTCTAAAGCGTGATCTACCCCGGAAACCAACTAACATTTCATCAATGCATACATATTCACCAACAGAAAACTCCGTTTGACAGTTTTGAATAAAAGATTCAAATAGTTCTTGAATTGGTGCTAGTGGATTTACCGCTTTTCGTTGTTCTCTCGTGGAAGGGTCATCAAAACGTAAACAAGTCAATAAAACTGCAAATCTCTTGGCACTCATTACGGACCGAAAAATTTCTCTGCCCGTTCCATCTGTAGCAAATAGACATTCTATGTCTTCATCATTGGACTTAAATACTGAGGTGTAAATTAGTAAGCCTAAAAATGCTTCCATTTCGACCTGGTCGACATTTTTTAATTCCGGCCTCTTTTCATTTTTGTATTTGACCCTAACACTCGCCAATTTTACATTTGTCCATTCGACTACAACATTTAACATTTGATTTGTAAATAAACAGTTCCAAATTTCCTTTGGAGGTGCCGAAAGACCAAGAGACCGAGCCTTTCCTTGCAGCCCCGGTAAATGTACAATAATATTATGCTTTTGAGTACGAATATTTTTTGGTGCACTAGCTGACCACTTAAATCTGTTTTTACCATAAAAGTAGTTTGAAGATCTTGACGCCAATATATTATTTTCATCATCACTGGACGAGTCTTGGTTTAAAGTTTCTGGAATATTGTCTTCTGGATCAGATTCACTATCAGACTGCTCAGATGCCGACTCATGACTGCTTTCTATTACCGCATCACTGTCAATATCATCAATATCACTATATTCAGAGTCCAAATCATTGAACCAATTTAACACTTTCTCTTCAAATTTCGGATCTGTAACACTAACCGATCGTGACGTACTTGGTAGATGATCCATTATAGTTTATACGAAGAAATATAAAACACTCGATAAAAAGTAACTAACGGTGACGTTGAGTCTCGCTGACTCCAATAACGTCTGTTCTCGCAAACGGCTAAACGTAAACTAATCAAACAAAAACGCTTGGTTTATGAACTATTTTTAGAAAGGTACTTAGCCGCAGGCCATCCAGAGTCGTCCGCTTCAATATTTTAAACCGGTTTTTAATTTCGCAAGAGTCTCTCAGACTCCACGTCACCGGTTACGGGTTTGTAAAATGAAACTAATCAATAAATCAACGATTAATATTACGAATCTTTTTGTCGTTTTTTCTTAATCGTTTTGTGTCCTAACTCAAACAAATATTCCTTCTTCTTAAGGTGCCTTCTTTATTACTGAAGGTTAGCTATAACCACAGCAAATTGCTCTCTATCTTTAGCTGTTCTTAGTATCGAATGTGTGTCCATGCCTGTCCAGTCTCTTACATTCTTCAACCAGGAGCATTTTCTTCTTCCTGGACCTCTTCTTCCTTCCACTTTCCCTTCCATTATAAGTCGTAGGAAGTTGTATTTTTCTCCTCTGTAAATATGTCCTAGATAACTCGTTTTCTGTTTTTTACAATATTTAGGAGTTCTCTCTCAGTACCCATTCTTCTTAGCACCTCGTTGTTGGTCACGTGCTCTGTCCAAGAGATCTTCAGCATCCTTCGAAAAACCCACATCTCAAAGGCTTCTATACGCCTCATACTTGTAATTCCGAGAGTCCATGTTTCCACTCCATATAGCAATATGGAATAAATAAACGTTTTTACAAATTGGTATCGGATATCCAACGATAACGTAGAGTTTATTAGGAATTTTTTCATTCGTTGAAATGCGGACCTAGCATATTCTATACGAGCACGTATTTCGACCTCGTGGTCAAGATCGTTTGTTATCCAGCAACCAAGATACTGGAATCTGTGTACTGGTTCTATATGTTTGTTATAGCTAAGAATATTAATGTCGACATTTGGTGCACGTGTAACAGCCATTACTTGTTTTATTTGTGTTTATATTTAGTCCCAAGCTATCTCCCTCTCTGGTTATGACATTCAAAAGTCGTTGTAAACCCTCAGCACTGTCCGCAATAATGACGGTGTCGTCTGCGTATCTTAAGTTGTTTACGTATTCTCCGTTGATTTTTATTCCTTCTTCAATATTTTCGAGGGCATTTTGAAAGATCTTTTCTGAATATATATTAAATAACAGTGGAGAAAGTACTCAGCCCTGACGAACTCCTCTTTTTATTGGCAATTCTGCTGTCAGACGATTGGCCATTTGATCTTAATATAGTTTTTTACTAAGTGCTACAGTGTTTAGTCTATACCATGTTGTGTTAGGGTTTCTATGAGTTCTGTTTGTTTTACTCGATTCCTAAAACGATTCGTAAATATTCCTAGAAATTGGTTATAATAACTTCAGTATTACTAGGTGTTATTGTTTCTGTCACTTAGTATATGTCAATATATGTTGGTTTCAGGTGGTGACCATTGTTTCGTATCTGTGATAAAAAAAGACAGCAAAGTGCCTCCGTTCGATGGTCGTGACATCGATCCTTCGACTCAAATAACTATTCTTTCCTATAATTTTGTAAAAAATCTTTTGCGGATATCAGCCAAAGACACGGTCGATCAAGACGTCTGGACTTTCCTGGAGACAGCGTTCAAAAGTTTGGCCTGCATGAACGGTTCGTTCCTATTGGACAATGACGCTCACTACATCTGTAACATTAGACATCACGGTGTCAATGTGGCAGTAGCCGAGGATGCCTTTTCTTATATAGCGAAGATTGAGAACGAGAGTATCAAAAATTTGGTAAGTTAACTCAGTAGATTTGTTTTATACTGACATGTTGATGACCATACGTTGTTTTGTTTTTCTGTTTATTCTTCAATATTAGTGTCTGCGCATTGTACGTTCAAATGTCGAGGAAAAGTGCAGTATTTGGCAGGTACAGATTCTTTTCAATGTTGAGTAGTTAACAGAGAACATGGTGGTGTCGCAGAATATGTGAAAGATTCAGTGTGTCTCTGACGTCAATATCGCGAATGGTTGAATGAGACAGCGTAACTAATGAGAATACCATAAAGCTGGGCAAGGTGGAAACCATATCATGACCTCAATTCAAGATTATTCGTTAAGATTTTCTGCTCTCAGATTATAAACTTGCAACTACGCAACAGTTACAATCTGAGCTTTCAAACGTAAGTGGCTTTTAAATAAAACTGAAAAAAATTCGGCCACATCTTCTAAAAGGAATAATCCAAAGTCCAAATAATTTGTGCTGAAGTTCCAGCGTTAACCAGTGGTCATCGTAGAGCAGCATTCAATTTTTAATGGCAGTATGTGAATTGGTAAGAAGCCTATTGGGAATGAGTTCTGTGGATGTATGAGTCACACTTTCGCTTGGATAGATTTTACAGACGAGTTCGTGTTTGTAGAAGGCCATAATGAACTGTATGCTCGCTTATGGTATGGGGAGGCATTTCATTAACACTCGCGGACTTGGTGGTAATGAATAATGTAAATTTGATGCTAAGCACTACATAATATAATGCTTAAAATATTGTTCGGAACTATCCTTTGGAAGTTGGCATTGAAATAATGAGCTGAGCAGAACGTAGTCTCAACTCTAATCTAATATTTTAAGGGGTGAAATAACTCAAACCACGTTTCCAAGAGTTTCAAAATAATGTACAGAAAGCAAAACATGTTTATTGTTTTTTACATTAAAAAATCAAAAATAAATTCACTATTTTATTAATCATTATTTTCTTCTATATCAGGAAGTGGTCCAGCTTCGTTATTGACTTCATCAGATGATATAAGATTTCTAAAATAAGAATGGTAGACTGAAGAAATGTATGGTAGTAAATCACTCATATCCCGTTTTTTGGCTGACATAACTGGTCGAGATGCTGTGTACAGGCAATCCAGTTGAAGAATTTTTAACAATGTTGGTCTTCCCTTCTGCTTGCTTCAAAGGATATTAATTTGTGAAAAGTAAAAATCTTCATTTAGTGTTTCTTTATAGAACAGTGAAAATGGTTAATCTTTTTTGACTCTAATCCTCTGCATTTTTAACCATGACACTGATTGGTTATCCGTATTGGTTCTTCTTCTTGTAATTGATTTAGTGAGTTGTGTGAGTCTTCTCTAAGCATTTTTGTGAAAATGAAAACTTTTTCCTTTTTACAGCGAACTATGACTGAAAACCAATCTTCAGGCACATATATTTACATTTGGAGTGAGTTTCAATTGAACCAAAGTCTGACTCGTTTGGTAATTAAGAGTGTCCGCTTACCATAAACTTGTGATCAACTATTTCGATACTATTATTTTCACTTTGAACTAACTGCAATATCGCCAAAGCAAAATTCCAGATTCTATTTTGGAGGGTGCAGCTGTCACTGTACAATACATGTTTTGAATTTGCTGCCCGTAATTCTATGTGCTTTGTGACACAGACACTGATTTAATGAGATCCTTTCGAAGCTGTTATTTCATCCCATTCATACAGGGCGTCCTTTAGGCGTCCTGAAAGCTACGGCGTCCTCCAGGTCAAAAGTAAATGTAAGGTCTCCAGGTCTCCATAGTAAGACTGATGATTCTTACTATGCATTCACTTTTGACCTAGAGAATGGGCATTTTCTGTATCATTTTTCACAGAAATACGTGCAAACTCGGCCTTTCTAAGATGAAATTCGTGCTCTACTTCTAATCTGTCTTATCTCATTATCATGTTATTGCAGCTTTTTTTTTGTAAGCATCACACCTAGAGCAGATTGTGCTCATTATTGCATGTACGGCGAAAAATATCACAGGAAGCGCGGACAGTGCCTTGTTCCTGACAGTACTCACTGTACAAGCGATATAGAAGAGTAACATTAAGTGTTATTGGTAAGATTGAAAATTTTCATTATGTTTCCTGACACAGTTCATACCTTCTTCAGATATTTTATTGCTTATTATACCATCGCCCCGATTATCTGAACCAGGTGGGTCATCTTGTTTTATCTTATGAATGACCCGTGTCATTCATCCATCAGATATCTAAGAGGTTCCAAGGAAGTATTTTTTACATACGTTCGTGGTTTCGCCTTGTTTATGAATGAAATATTGGTTAGACACTGTCTAACCAGGTCGTGACTGATCCCTAGGACGTTTTACTTCAGATTTGTTTTGCTTGATCAAACCACAAATAAAAGCATTTTGTGCTGTAAATAATTTCAATATCTAGAATGATTCAAATGGTTTTTTTTCTATCTTCACATATCTTTTCGAAACATTTTTTATTGCAAAAACAGGTGTTGTTTGAAAAAGTTTTACCTGGCACTACTTTTCCTTTTGTTGTTATATACTCACAATCTGAGTTGCGAAACCACGTTCTTTTTTCTTTTTGATTTATATGCCTCTGTCGTTTTCGTGCTCTCTTGTGTTGTTGAACTTCTACTTTTCCTTTCATGGTCTTGGGGAGAGACTTCCTCGTTTGATTCACAGTCTGAAACAAACCAACTTTATTAAAATCTTTCTATATCTTGTTGAGAATCAGAAGGTACCCACTCCTCATCTCCTGAGTAAGCGAAAATACTAGGCTAATCACTCACATTACTTAAACTGTCGTCATCCATTGTATTGAAAAATCACAAGCGCAAAATACTAACTGCCTTAGGAATGAACGAATAGTGGTGTAAGTCTGACTTTCACCACTGTTCCCCCGAGTACTATAGGATTTTGTTTGACTGTCAACTTTGTGCTGCTATCTGTGAGCAAATAGAAGAGGTGTGACTTACACCATTGTTGCCTCTGATAGATTTGAATATGCACTTATCTCTATTGTATAAAAAAAGTGACTTACACCACTTTTCACCGCCACATGTTTGGGAGGCAGTGTAACCTCGGAAATCTTTTTTGGGTGGTGCTAGAAAGATAACCAATGGAGACACTGCGGACGGCAGCCAGATGGTTGGTGGAGAGCGAGTCGTGGGTTCGAAACTAGCTTTTGGAACCGGGAATGGATCCAACGGAAGAAATAGGTAAAGATAGGATAAGAGATATTAGAAAAGATACAGAAATAAACAAAAAGATAGATGGGTAAAATTACCAAAGATAAGAGAAGATAGAAACAGGGCGCCACTCAATTTTTTGGGGTTAAGGAGAAAATTAAGAAAACCTTAGAAAAGAAAAGAGATAAGAAAAGATATTTAGGTTCAGAGATCAAACCCAAGGAAAGATACCAACAGTAAATTATCAAATAAATCTGGTCAACGCAATATATAAACAAATAATAAATATATTAAGTATTACACTTACTTACCTACGAAACTTAATCAGCCTGATCTTTCTACAGTTCAAAAGCATAGTAATATTTAAAGATAGTAATTGTTCAGAGCTATTATTTTATCAGGGAACTTGTTAGGAGCCGACAAATAAAATACATGCATAAAACAATAACAATATATTAAACACAAAATTATGATGCTGCTAAATGCAACACAAGTAATAAAAATACACAACTATGAAATGGTGTTATATGTATAAAATTAAGCAATAATATAATAAAAAAATACCTTTACCAAGATATTATAAGGCAATCATATACAAATATAGTTTGGCGTATCTCGAGATATTATAGGAAAGATAATGAACAAAAATTATAGGAAATACAAAAGATATCAAAAATTACTTAACTCTAAATTTACAAAAAATACAAAAAGGTTACAGAAATGAAAACATAAACCAAACCGCACTTGGTTAAGTCAATTAACTATCTCGCACTATTATTTAATAAAAAACTGAGACTTTTATGTTCATAGGTATTATTTATAGCAATTTCTTGAATGGTTCTTTAAATTACATTCAAAAATCGGCAATCTATAGGTGAAGATACGGATGATACGTCCAGATAATGGCAGGTGATATGATACCATACCATATTACTCGCCCAGATAATTTGAGATAAAGCTTACTTACAGTAGATCTTGACGAAGGCAGCTTAATTCACTGAATTTAATACTTTTCTGGTACTAAACACTGAATTTAATAACCATTAAAGGTAGTGTAGAACTATATATAATTTAATATAGTCTAAGGAAAGAAAACTCAAATATAAAGTGTATACACACTTAGAAAATAATTCACAAAGACGATACGATAAGAAATAAAGTGAGCAAAGCGTAACACGAGATATTGGCCTTAACTCAACAACGGCCCACCAACAAGTAACACGAGATATTACCTCACTCAACAAGAGCCCACCGAGAAGTAAATTGGTTCCACTAAAAATTTTCACCAACTATCCAAGCAAAAAGAAGAAGAAGCTATATCCCCCACTTAAAATCATCGGACAGTCGTATGTATTTCTCAGAAGATAAGGCCTTAACGACTATTGGAAACTTTGAGGTAAAATAATCGGTATTAACAATTGGACATAAGAAACAGACAATACTTGGGATTAAGTTATTGTCAAAAGAAACGGGCCTTCGACGAAAATTACCAATTTATGAAAAGGAAACTGCATACCAAAACGCATTATACTCTTTTCATAATGAATATTATGACGGAAGGATTAAAAACCATTCCTAATTAGGGAATTCCATTTTAGCTGGGTATCTACAATATTTTGCTATCGATACACGATCATAGGCGTATCGCACGGGGGTAAAAGGAATTAGAAATATTTAATATATTAATAATAAAAAAATGTTACAGCAGTTATGATCAATTATGAGGCAATTCTTGGAGCAGTGTGTAAATAGGAAGGTAGCAAGGTAGGCAGAAAGTACGTAAGTTAATAGAGGGGCTCATTTTTGGCCAATGCCGTCCATAATATATCAGCCGTATCCCATAAAAGGAACCAGATATATTTTAAATTATTTTTTAACTTTTTGTTCTTTTTAGATTTGGAACGGCATAGTGGATAACATCATTCCTAGTCTTATACCATCGCCTCCTGACCAGGAAGCTCTCCGAATATATCTGACGCTACCGCTATATCACGAATTCAACAACCCCAAACAGCATAGTAAACTGCATAAACCGTTCGCAAACGCTGTACTTATGTTAACCAAAAATGCTACTAATGTAAGTGAAATTTTAATAATATTTAGTGTAGTAATTCTCTTTCACGAATTTCTTTCTGACAAATGTGATAATCAAACTATTAATACTGATAGTACTGTTTCGACTAAACTACCACTACTTTTTATTAATAAAAATTGCTTTTACGTTGGTACTAGGCAAATTGATAAACTTTAAAAAGTGATAAGCTTTCAAATTAGCTTGATTTATCTATTTTAGATAGTGTGTGCTTGGTGGAGGATGATGACCAATGATTATTTCGAAAGATTAGTCAATTCCTTTAAGTCTGTAGCTAGTTTCATAATACGAAATCAAAAAGTACCTGAGGGATCGGTAAGTAACTATAAAGTCGGTTACATCTATGTTCTCTCTCATATCTCTTCTCATAATATCTAACGCAGTTGTAGATAAATCGGCCTGTAAATCTTGCAATATTATTTACTATTTTACTACTACTATGGTTTAAGTATTACATATTTTGTTACTTTTTAGTTAATCTTTTATGATCCCAGTCTAGTTGCTGTATTGGATGTTCTTAAATTCCTCAACGATGTCAATCATTTAGAGGGAGGTTTAAAGGTGTCGTACGATACCTTCTACATAAGTGACCTTACAGAATTTATGAATATCCGATACGATTATGTTTATTGGTTGCGACAGCAAGCGACACGTGTCCAGGTAAGTGCACATCTAAATTATCTATTTTCTGTCATAATTATATTGTTATAAGATATTTTAAATTTGATTGAGATAATTAGGGCGTTATTCGATCTCGATAGCTTCTCTTGTTGTATAGAAATGGATAATATTAGTGCTCCTTTCGTGAATAAGAGTAGTTGTATAAGTACTTTTAATGTTGCTATCGCTTAGATTAGAAATTCTCAGACTAGAAAAAGTAAACACTTTCAAAGACTATGTCTTCTGTGATCTACAGAATTATAGACCTATATCGTTGCTCAGTGAAGTATACAAACTATTTATGAGAATTATTAACAGCCAGTTGACCTACAAAATGGACAATTACCAACCGGTTGAACAGGCTGGCTTCCGTAAAGGATATAATACATCAGACCATCTTCTGACAATGAGAACATTGATAGAGAAGGCAAATGAATACCAACTACCCGTATTTCTTGCCTTCGTCGACTATGAAAAGGCGTTTGATAGTATCGAGATGTGGGCTATAGAATAAGCTATTAATTAATTGTAGAATAGATTCGAGATATAGGCAACTAATTGTCATCAAGTGCCGATAGCTTTCCATCAACAGCGAACACTTGATGTGCATTCGCCCCGCCCACCTTACCTATTCTCTTAATTTTCATTGGTCTTTTGGTTTGGAATTCATATGAAATATTATGTATAAATATGAGTCGAATTCCAAGCCAAAGATAGTCCAGCTCCTACCTCGGTCTCTCCTAGAGCTCGAAACTCTAGGGAGCCGAACACCGGGGCTCTGCCTCATTTTCTTTTTCGCCTTAGACTCTGAGGATGTTTGTCTACGTTAAACTGTGTTTTATTTTCTACATTCTTCGGTGCAAGTGCACACAAGAAACCTGTGTCATTTTATTCATGTAAGAAATTCGACTGTCTTTATTAAGACAGTCTTTTTTCTGTAAGAAATAATTAACTATGTCTTTCTCAAGACATTAGTCAAATACTTCGACTTGTAAGAAATTAACTGTGTCCTTTTCAGGACACAGTTCACTTTTAATCCACGTCCTAACCTACATTGGATAAGTGCCTAGGGTATTTCGCAAGCTATACGCGAATACCCTAGTGCAGAGCGGAGTAGACGATGTTATAGGTAGGTCTATTATTTCCGCTCAGACGACATAATACATAATATATATGGAAATGCAAGTAACGTATGGTCCTAAAGTTTTGAGAAAAATTTCACCTGGTCTGATTGAGAAGCAAAATGCATTTAACAAAGGAGGCCATGGAATTGAAATGTCATCAGTTATTGACATTTAATAAACAAAGCAGAATATTTTGGTTTGTGCTCTGCAAAATGTCTTATAAAATTGATATTCGTCGAGGTGTTTATAATATGGTTGGGCGAATGTCAAAACAAGATATTGTTAATATTTATCGAGATCAAAACATAAGCAAATCGACAATTTATCGCACAATCAGAGAATGTGAAGAAATGATACCATGTGTAAACTTGCGTAAAAGTGACCGATCGTGGATTTTGAACCATATAAGAGTGGCAAGACTGATTGAAGCAGCTAAGAACAAAATTGGGGTCTGACAGCGAAAACTGGCCAGAAGATTTCATGTTGGAAAGACTACAGTATACAGGACCCTATCGAGTGACAATATTATCTACCGGAAAAGAAGGAAAGCTCCAAAATACACAGAGGATCAATTAGAGAGAATTCCGAGATGTTGCCACGCGTTAAGGCGAGTGCATTTCGTCAACAAGTAGATCGTTATGGACGATGAAAAATATTTTGTTCTTAGCTGCTTCAATCAGTCTTGTCTCTCTTATATGGTCCAAATCCGCGGTCTGCCACTTTTACGCAAGTTAACACATGGTATCCCTTATTCACATTCTCTGATTGTGCGATAAATTGTCGATTTGCTTATGTTTTGATCTCGATAAATATTAACAATATCTCGTTTCGATATTCACCCAACCATATTATAAACACCTCGACGAATATCAATTTTATAAGACATTTTGCAGTGTAGAAACCAAAATATTCTGCTTTGTTTATTAAATGTCAATAACTGATGACATTTCAATTCCATGGCCTTCTTTGTTAAATGCATTTTGCTTCTCAACCAGACTAGGTGAAATTTTTCCCAAAACTTTAGGACCATACGTTATGATAGTACAACTAGACGAAAATACAAACCCCGTCCCTATTAAGAGAGGAGTGAGACAAGGAGACGTAATATCGCCAAAGCTTTTCAACCCAGCCCTAGAAGACTTCAAAACTACAAATTGGTCAACCTATGGCATTAACGTTAATGGCAACAAGTTAAACCACCTCAGATTCGCTAACGACAGCGAGCACATTCGAAGAACTGCAAATTATGATGGGGAAACTAGCAGGCAGCTCCCAATACGTCGGCCTAAAAATGAATATGAAAAAAAAAAACAAAAATAATGACAAACAAAGATGGCCCCAGAATATATCTACTTAGGCCAATTCCTGAAACTTGACAAAGAGAACCAAAGTTCGGAAATTACTAGAAGAGCAAGACTAGCATGGGCAGGATTTTGAAAACTTAATTGGATACTTAAGAACCGCAAAATACTCCAATACTTGAGGAGCAAAGTGTTCAACCAATGCATCCTTCCTATCATGACATATGGATGTCAAACCTGGACTCTAACCAAGGCAAACATGAATAAACTAGCCACAGCAGAAAGAACAATGGAAAGTGCAATGGTAGTTATACGACTGTCAGATAAAAAGAGGAAAGACTGGGTAAGATCAAAAACAAAAGTCAAGGACATAACAACAACAATTGCCAAACTTAAATGGAGCTTCGCGAGCCACACTGCTAGACAAAAAGACCAACGTTGGAATACTACAATACAACATTGGAGACCTTACGAAAGTAAACGACCAAGAGGAAGAGCACAGATGGGATGGGTTGATGACATTAAAAGAATAGCCGGAACAAATTGGAAATATGTTGCTCAGGATAGAGACCGATGGAAGGAATTGGGAGAGGCCTATGTCCAAACATGGACGATAGAAGGCTAAGAAGAAGAAGATGGTCTTAATCTTTCATAAAATATGTTGGATAGAAGAATGTTTCCTTATTCCAACTGGTCTCCTTTTATGAAATAGTACCCTTGTTCCATTCATCTGGTAGCTAATTGTTCACCCATTAACATTAATTGTTAGTTTACGTATGGCAGTTCTTTAATCAGCTCAGATGCTAGATGGACTGATCCCGGTGCTTTATTTATTTTTAGTTTGTCTACTGTCCCTTTAACGTCTAGCTAACGTTGGGAGGATTTTTTCTTATTTGGAGGATCTGTTTGATTTGCTGTGATTTCAGAATTCACCACCTTTTTGTCTCCTTTTAAGTTTGTCCTTTAATTTTTCAAACTTTTTTTATTTATTATATTTTTATATAAACTGAGTGACGCAACCCTAAGTTTCGTAAATATTCTTAATTTTCCATATACATATATTGAACTGAATTTTGTCAAGTTATCCTGAAAAATTCATTTTTTGTCATTCTAGAGTGATAGGGTGCTATTATGTAGCTACCCCTTTGTGTTCGACGCCAATGCAAAAGTTCAGTTGTTAGAAACAGACCAACAAATACAGGTAAGTGTTTTGGTTTTATACATGGACGTATAAACATAGATGGACACAGCAATAAGATACCTTCAACACACAATGTTTTGAAGCTTCGATAGAATGTGATGCTTCCGCAATGAGCATAAGCGTGCTTGAATTTTTACTCGCGGGTAATTATTCAGATTTTAAAAATTGGAAGTAGTAATAATGTATAAAAACACGTTCAAAGAATTAAAAAAAACGAGAGTTTAACTATTAACAAATCACGTCTTTATAGAAAAATTAAAATACAATTGTATTTGCTTTAAAATTAATACAATTACTTAAATATAGTTGAATTCAAGTTAATTTTTTAATAGTATCAAAATAATGCTACAATAAACAATCTTTATGTTTTCTCCTTAATTTGCTACCCAAATAGTTCGATCGTCAATAATATTTGGAAACCTACATAGAAAAATAAATGAGTTTTATTCATTTCACTAATTTATTTGTATCCATGAGAAATATTAAATTAAAAAGGTACTAAACAGATTTTTTTTAATTAGATGATGTCTACTTATAATTTATAAATGTCTACAAATTTCATGAACTCATATCTTATTCAATACATTAATGAACATGAATAAACCCAATGGTACGCCTATTAAAATGTAAACAAACACGCTTCCTCATTTCCTCATCTTAAATAATGTAAATTGTATGTACTTACAAATGAAATGAGAGATCGGGATGTAAATATTTCGTTTATTTTATTTCACTTTTCACAAATATCACTCAAAATACAGCCAAAATATCGAAAAATAAGTTTTTCCTCATTTACTGTTAAAAGTAAACAAACATGGAACAGCATTTGAAGTTTGACGTAGATCCATAAGACAGAGAAATGTAAACAACCGTTGCCATTTATAAACAGTTTTCAGTGCTTCTACATATAAAATAATTGATTGATACTTATTATACGCTATTATTAAATGATAATGCACACTATGTGCACACATGATATTTTGATTACAATTAAATATATTAATATAACCAATAAATTATTATTTTGGTTTGATAGCACCTGTAGAGTATAAAATACGGAGTAATATTTTCAGCGACTCGCGAATAAGAAATTTTAAAACAAAACGTGACAACAGTTGAAGGTGCTCAGAATGTGACCTATTCAAATAATTTTGACTTTACAATTTTATGTAAATAACTAAGTCCATCTGTGTTTATACGTCCATGATTTTATATTATTTATCAAACAAATTTTATTTGTTTATGGTTAGGATATTGACTGTGAAAGCTACGCTTCCATTCGCCTAATCATGTTTGACTTTAATTGCTTAGGAAAAAAAAGAAAATTAGTTCGAAAACCAATATAAATAAAATAAAAAAATATACATCAGTGGCGACCCGTGAGTAGTGCCATATAATTGATAAAGTAGGATCGTTTTAGCCTGTCGCATAAGTAATAAAAGTGTCTGTTCAGATTTGCCTCAGGTAGTCAGCGGTTTTCTTTATCCTCAAGTACTACAGCCGACCATTAAGAAGTTCGGTACCACAAAGCAGGTAGAAAAGGGAAAGCATAACAGAGTGGCTGTAACTAGAGTCATAAATTACTTTTCGGGCGTTAATCCGAAATACGACAGGGTAAAACGACTTCACTTTATTTTTCTTATCTTCTTTAGATGCACAACGCGATAACGGACGCCGCTCAGAGAGCAGCCATGGCTATGCTGTTTTCGCCACACAACTTGCATGCCATTCAAAGCCACCTCGTATTGAACGTTACCAGAGAAAATATTGTTGAAGACGCCATAAGAGAACTTATGAATAGTGATATTAATGATTTGAAGAAGCCGTTGAGGGTAAGTACTCGTACAATATTTTAAAATAATAGGCTTTTAGGAAACTGAAGCAGAGTGGAATGAATAGTTTCGTTGTCTTGTTTATAAAAATCTTAGGTAAAGCGGAAACTTTACGGAAGCGGAAGTCTGATTGTATGGCGTGTTATAACATATCTTAAGTTTGTATTCGCAGAAATATAAGTCTGCATGATGTGGTATATGATCGATACTCGACTGAGTTTCTAATTTATTCTTATTATCAAAATACTAACACTTAATTCAAAAAGTCTGCTATTACTGTGCTACAGGGTACCATAATCATAAGCAAACTCAACATCACCGAATGTACTCTTCTTTTACTAACATTTTTTGTTTTAAATATAGAAATAAATTGAAAATACTTTTCAATGTATTTCTTAGGGAGTGTTCGGATTTCATGAAACTTATAACTAGGCTTATTAGATAAAGAAATTATCAGTTAACTTAAGAATTCCTCTTTGAAGTATTTAGTTACTCTATTACTGTTATTCTATTACATAGTTCAATGTTCATTACACTTATATACGTATATACTGTCGGTAACTTGCATAAACTTCATATTAATCAAATGCTTGCGTCGTTTTGATTGAAACAATTAGATCGTCTTTTTATTTCGATAGCTTCTGGGATCGATCTACAGGTGAGCGTATAAACCTTGACTTTGTTGAATATTCTGCTGATTCTATTATATCATTCAAGATGGAGATGAAGATTGATTCAATCTTGCCTTTTCTTGATGCCTTGGAAATAAAAATTTTTCCCAAATTTCTTCTAAAATTGGAAAGTTACTTATATCTACCACTATTTGCGTACTAATTATTATAACACTATTAAATAAAGAATACATTTAGTCGGTGTGCAGACTGTCGACGATTTTCGATAGATCAAACCATTCGAAGAATTTAAAATAGAATATATTAGGATTCAATGTCAGTCCACAACTTCGATTCGGTTTCTGCACTGGCTCTGCATCTTCAGTAGACTGAAAGTTACAAAACCCTCGCGCTATTCGTTCTAATAAACCAAGGAAGGAGTCATTGAGAAAAAAAAAACGCCCTAATTGCTCCAATAAAAGACATGATGACACCAGGTCTTAAACATGGAGACTCCTCAAGTAGAATAAATCACCGTACATTTATATAACAATCCACGTCCTGCCAATAAGAATATTGATATCGCGTTTCAAGAAACACAACGTTAGCTAACCAATTTTTGATTAACATATTGAACTCTGTAATAGTGAAGTAATCTGGATTCTCTAGGTCACATTTTGGATAATTTTTTTCCACTTTGTTGATCAATCCTCAAAGTCTATACCTAATTGCATATTACTGATAACTTCATGTCTTCAGTAATAAACTGAGCTGTCAGCTAAATATCATCGTTTTTTCAATACAAAGACTTATTTGGTTTCAATTTTTAGGTTAGGTTTGCCGGAGAAGAGGCTGAAGATGCCGGTGGTGTAACAAAAGAATTCTTTTTGCTGTTATTAAGGGAAATTTTAGATCCCAAATACGGCATGTTCCAAGAATACGAAGAAACTAGAGCGATATGGTTTTCAGAGTCGTGTTTCGAAGACATTTCAATATACAATTTTATAGGTCGGTTTTAGGTGAGATTGAACGAGCTTTCTTTAATTATATTTTTATTTTAGGCAAGTTTCTTGGCCTGGCGATCTACAACTTTACTATAATAGACATTCCTTTCCCTCTGGCTCTCTACAAGAAGCTTCTAGGCGAACCTATAGGTAAATAAGAGGCAGTTCACGGTTATATCACTCAAAAATGACATACGAAAGTGCTCCAAAGGTTTGCACTAAAATTTATTGTTGATTTTAGCGTTAGAAATAACAATAGTAGTCATTTTGTAAAAAATGTGGTATAATCTATTTAATCCTAATTAAACTAACAAAAAATGTTTGTTCTGTCGGAAATAATTATTGCCAAAACACTTTTAATAGGTTATTAACTGTCACTTATTCTGTATGTTTGTTATTTTTTTTCTTATTGCATAAGGGCATACGATGAGTGATCAAAAAGTTTCAGGACGAATTGTTAAAATTTTCCCTCGCCCAACATCGATTCCAATGTTGAAACGGCCACTGTAGAATGATGTATAGCTCTTCCAATAATTTTTAAATGTTTTCAATTAAGTTAAATATATATCCTTTCAAATGTCTCTTGACTTTGGGAAACAAAAAAGTGTGCATATTTGTCATCGTAAAAACTGAGGAAACTGAGGGGCGATATTGACTCGTTATATGAAAAGTTCTGGAAGTTAATGATCAGTTCTTGTATGTATATATCAAAATATTGGTAAGTGTCAACGCAACATTGTTTTCAAAGCGGACTCACGCTATACGCTATCTGCTCAGGTTAAACTTAAACAAAAAAGATATTCTGTCGCGCTTTCATCAGCCAGTTCGCCTGGTCAATTTTTATGAAATGTTTGCTTAAATTTAACATAATTTACTACTCTTTATTTTCAGGATTAGCAGATCTCAAAGGTCTTTCACCCACAGTGGCGAATTCACTCCAGTGTCTTTTAGATTACACAGAGAATGATATGCAAGACGTGTTTTCCTTATATTTTGACATATCGAGAGAATCCTTCGGCGAGACTGTCACTATTCCTCTACAAGCTAACGGTTCAGATATTCCAGTAACTCAGGAGAACAAGTAAGTGGACAAGAATTACATTTTTGCAGTTTTAAACGTACTATCAATCAGGAGTGTACCTCTTGCACTTTTACTTCGAAGTAACGTACACCAATTTTCCATATACTGGTAAACTACATATAATATAACAGATAAACCTGCAAATTTCTTTATTGAAAGGTATAGAAAAATATTTAGTAGAGGTTAGTTTTTGTTAACATGACAGGAATATAGAAATTTTTCACATTCAATTTGTAACACACATTGTAACGACAATATTTTGCCTACCAAAGGGTTCATTAATACAGGGGATAGAAAATTGGGGAAGAAACTATTGGGGTGGAGATAAGGCAAGCAAAATAATCGCTACTTGTGCGAACGGCACTCAGGGTTTGGTAGGAGAGCTGGGGTCGTGGATAAGTAAAAGATAAGGGGGTGGAATAGGGCAACTACAAAAAAATGAAATAAAGGGGTCATTAATCTCTTGGGATAAACAAAATAAAAATAAACAGGAAACACCTCAAGGAATTTAATATAGGGCGCCACTTGAGGTGCCTAATTATACCTATACAACCACTAGTTGTAACTAGGAAAATAATTAGAAAACATTAAAAACATATCTTTTTCAAATAGACTCAAAAAAGGGTTAGTTCAAAAAAATAAAATGTTAAGAAAACAAAATTCAACATTTATTTTTGTGTCACCACAAACAGTTACAAAATGGAGAAATACAAAATACAAAAACTTACGTGTCATCCGCTTACAAACTCCAGGAGTTGGAGATACTACATAATCTTACAAATTTACATGGAGGTTAACCTTGTTTAAAAATAAAACAAACTATAATAGTCCAAAAAAATAATAAAAAACGAGCTGTCATAAGTTAACATTAAATTTCAAAAAAAAAACTAAACACACAAATTGACAGCTCAACTCAAAACCTAAAATTTACAATTTTAAATGTAACAATTTTTAAATTTCAACGAAAGCAATTATTATTTTATAAAAAAATTGTCTGTCTTTACTTTAAATCTTGAACACAAAAAAAAAACAGTTACCTTGATTTTCACTTAACAAAAAAAACTTGTCACATCTCTGGAGTATTGACATCATCAGCGAAAACATCCATTGGGGGTTGGAACAGGAACATAAACAGGAACTAGACTTTTTAAACATCTTAAAATCTTCAAAAAAAAAACGAAACAGTGGTCACTCTTTCTAAGATGACATATTACATCGAGTGAAAACTCCACCAATTTTGGCAAATTATGCCGGTCACTTCATGACGGATAAAATTTCACGACTACTGCTACTTATTTCCACGAAATTGACCAAAAAAACAGAAGAACACAAATTCGATGGAGAATCTGTGGATCCATACCTCCTAACACTACGAAGGCCCGAGTATGAATCAAGATTCATCTCAACACTATGAAGGCCCGAGTATGAATTAAGATTCATCTCAACACTATGAAGGCTCGAGTATGAATCCATATTCACACCTCACTCTGCGAAGGCCTGAGTATGAATGACGAATTTAAAAATTCGATCCTAACTTGAAAATAACACAAAACGCTGAAATAGCGAAACACAACCAAACGACGCACGTACATATCCTTTTGCGACGTATTTGAAATTATAACGCGGCTTCCAATGAACATTTAAACAAATTGCCGAGAAAGTTAAAATAAACAACTCTAAAATGGTTTACATTAACCTCCAGCAATGCCAAGACAATTATGCGTATTTCAAACTCGAAAGATACGAACTAACAAACACGGTAAAAATTCCTCGTTTTATTTTTTAAACATATATAAGGCGATTTCAATATATTTCATTATACGAGAGCTTTCAATATACTTCAAAGAATCAATGAAATTGAAAATGCTACAACATTCAGTAGAATGTCACTTTATAGGATACATTCAATTTAAATGCCTGTCTATTAGCTACAATCAACGCTGGGTGTCAATGTGTAGGCTACAGCCAACAATTTGACTGGTTCTAGTCAACTCAGAGGTACAGCTTCTTTCCAAAAAAACTGATACGACTCGTAGTCAGATTCGATCATTTTGAGCAGTATATTTGATTGGTGTGACATTATATTATATTTATTTTGACAGACAAATAATAAAATAAATAAATAACTGATTACATATGTTAATTCATACATTGTAATAATTATTAAGGTTTAAATTTTAATAATATTTTGAATTCCTGCATTTTATAAAGAGCATATAAATGATAGTTTTAAACAGTGACTGCAAGATAATTCTTGCAGTTTTCGCATCTTAAAAATGATCGGTACGATCTTCATGAGCGGTAGATATTTTTGGTCTTCCAGAATATTGCTTTCTTTTAAGAATTTATTGTTTTCTCCATCTTTTATTGATATTAGAAACTGTTGTTCTGCTTACGTTAAAATGGTTGGCTACGGCAGATAGTGACCAACTCTCTTCTAATTTTGTTACAATTCTTGCTTTTAGTTCTTTGCTAGCATGTGGAGCCAGTTTTTGAGGTTGAACAGAATAAGTTATCTGACAAATTTTAAGATTTGGCAGTGACAGTGACAGTAAATATCCTTCAAAATACACTGCTCAATTTTCTACAAAATACGCTTTAAGAGTCGTATCAGTTTTTTAGGAACCAGCTGTATATTCGACCTTTTCCAACCAACTATTTTACTTATTCTTGACATCTCCGAGGTCGTTAGGAGTAGATTCGACCATCTATAAGAGATACAGTACCAAAGGATAATTTATAAGCTGCAATCAACTTTGTATGTTAATTTGTAGCATGCAGCCAACAATTTTCTTGATTTTAGTCATCTCAGAGGTATATTCGACCTTTCCAAAAAAGGCAGTACTAAGTACCAGTTTAATAGCTAGTTTGGGAGTCACTGTGTAGTCATTAATTAACATTTTTGAGATCTTTAGTGGTATATTCAACCTTGACTATGAGATGCAGTACCAAATGCTAATTAACAGGCTTTAATCAACTTTGGGTATCAATATGTAGCCTATAGCCCAACCGTTTTGCTGATTATTTTAGCTCAGAGTTATATTCGACATTCTCCAAAAAAAGACTACTAAAATAATAAAAGGAGACACTTTGTAGCCCACAACCAACAATTTCGCTGATTATTGGCATTTCTAAGATCCTTTGGGTTTAGATTCGACCTTGACTATGGGATGTGGTACCAAATGCTAATTAAAAGCTCCAATCAATTTTGGAAGCCATTGTGCGGAAGTTTATAGTAAATGTATAGCTTACTACCACAATTTTCTTGATTCTAGTAAGTTGTTTGATGTAACCGAAGAGTGAAATATTTATTCATTTTAGACAAGAGTACGTCACACTTTACGTTAACTACATTTTCAATGAGAGTGTCAAACATCAGTACGAAGCTTTTCGTGATGGATTTATGAAGGTCTGTGACAGTAAGCTGTTAGAACTGTTTCGTTCGCACGAACTGATGGACATGATAACTGGGAACGAGAACTATGATTGGCACGCTTTAGAAGAGGCGGCGGAATACAAAAACGGGTAAGTGTTACTTTTTTATCATAAGATGGATAGTCTCGAAAAATAACGTGAATATACAACGTTGGAACACCATGAAATGTCAAAATATATTCAATTCTGTTCTTCACCAGTTTATAGTCTGACAGCTAGATTAGACATAGATAAATTGTGTAGAATCTCATATAGTTTTAAAACTGATTATTGTTTAAAATTTGAAAAGTTTCTAAACTATCGACGAGCTAGGATATAGGTATTAATGGAGAACCTATTGGTCAAGTATTGCTATTTAATTAATAAATCAAACTAGCCAATAAATACCTTTATCATTTATCACCTGTTTCAATTAAAAACTGTTCTAACAACACCCCAACAAGTTCAATCTGTAATTACTCCCAAGCAAAATGGGGAGCACTATCTGAGACTGAAGGGGTAACACTAAACTGGGTAGGACTGGGACTAAAGCTTGTTCTTCTTCTTCAGCCTTAAGTAATCCAACTTTGGACATAGGCCTCCCCCAAATAAATCCAGAGTTTTCCGATCTTCTTAATGTCATTAGCCCATCTCATTTATGATCTTCCTCTGCTTCTCTTTCCTAACCATGGTCCCCATTGTTATGTTTCGTGGTTCCATATTTTATTCTTCAGTCAGTGTTCGCAATATCACAGCTGGTTAAATCAGTATTTGATTTTCGCCTGCGACTTAGTGGTACCGCACCTGTCAGGAATTCTATTCCTCAGCCACGGTTCACTAATGACACACCTGCTAACCCGTGTCATGTCCTCAGTTGATCCGCGGGTACTTATTTGGCGAAGCCAAATTCATATTCCTATTCGAATTCATACCTGTCTGGCATATTTACAGGAACGTTCCCTATCAGCCATTGGGACGCGCCGTGTCGGGGTTGAGGACTTCCCCGCCCAGTCTGTCTTGCACAAAATATTAAAGGACCCCTAATCAGTTCAGCGTTCCTCTTCTACACAAGCTGAGACCGGCAGAGCTTGTCTCTCTCTCTCTCTCTCTCTCTCTCTCTCTCTCTCTCTCTCTCTCTCTCTCTCATCTCTCTCTCTCTCTCTCTCTCTCTCTCTCTCTCTCTCTCTCTCTCTCTCTCTCTCTCTCTCTCTCTTCTCTCTCTCTCTCTCTCTCTCTCTCTCTCTCTCATCTCTCTCTCTCTCTCTCTCTCTCTCTCTCTCTCATCTCTCTCTCTCTCTCTCTCTCTCTCTCTCTCTCCTCTCTCTCTCTCTCTCTCTCTCTCTCTCTCTCTCTCTCTCTCTCTCTCTCTCTCTCTCTCCTCTCTCTCTCTCTCTCTCTCTCTCTCTCTCTCTCTCTCTCTCTCTCTCTCTACTCTCTCTCTCTCTCTCTCTCTCTCTCTCTCTCCTCTCTCTCTCTCTCTCTCTCTCTCTCTCTCTCTCTCCCTCTCTCTCTCCCTCTCTCTCTCTCTCTCTTCAATCCTGACCCCCTCTCTCTACAATCCTGAGTGTAGTGGTCGACGTGATGTCGTGTATTGTCCGTCTCCAGAGATCTCTGTCTCTGGTCATTTCTTTTAATTCATATATAGGTCTTTGGCATATTCCTGTAATTTGATCTATCCATCTTGTTGGGGATCTTCCTCGTGATCTTCGGCCTTCTACCTTTCCTTGTATTATGAGTCTTTCCATGTTTTCTGTGTTTGCTCTCATAACATGCCCAAAATATTTTAATTGTTGGAGATGGACTTTACTAGAGAGTCGTTGGCTAACTTTTAGCTCTCTTAAAATTGAATTATTTGTTCTACGGTCGGTCCAAGGAATTCGTAACATTCGTCTCCAACAGAGTATTTCAGTGGCGTCTATCTTTCTTCTCTCCGATTGTCTCAGAGTCCAAGATTCACATCCGTAGGTCAGTATTGGGAATATTAAGCAGTTCATCAACCTCATCTTTATCGCTCTTGAAATTTGACAGTCCTTCCATATTTTGGTCATTTTTGCTGTGGCAACTTTTGCTAGATCACATCTACGTTTAATCTCTTCTTGTAATGACCCTGTGTTTGAGATTAATGATCCCAGATATAAGTATGAGCTCACAACCTCGAACCGGTCAATTGTGGTTATGTGTGGATGATTGTTGTGTAGTCTATCCACTATCATGATCTTTGTCTTTAATATGTTTAATTGCAGACCAAATATTTGACTTTCGTTTTCGATCAGTCGTATAAGGTCTATCAGCTCTGCTTGACTATTTGTAACACAGCTTGTAACACTATAGTAATGTGTAAGTTTATTTTTAGGTATAAATCGTCAGATAAAACGATCAGATGGTTCTGGGAGGTGATACATGAAATGTCTTTAGCAGAGAAGAAAAAGTTTTTATTATTCTTAACTGGCAGCTACAGAATCCCTATTCAAGGAATGAAAGGAGTAAAGGTAAGTTACTTACAAAAGGATATCGCTTTTTAATTTTTTATTTTTGGTGGATTTATTATTTTACTAAGTACTTAACTTTAATTTTATTACTTTCACAATAATATTCCTTTCTCGATGTATTTTTTAGCATTTATTTTATATTTTGTTGAAGATCAAACACTTCCAATAGAAAATTCTTCACATTGACTTTTGACAGGAACAAATTGACATTTTTGACAGCTTAATCACTTCCATTAAATTCACTGTAAGATGTACAAGGAACTTTGAACTCTTAAACATTTTCATTTTTGTATTTTATAATTGTACCACTCATTTTCGTTCCAGATATATATCCAACCAACAAACGACGAGAAGTACTTGCCAGTGGCTCACACCTGTTTCAACTTGCTCGACTTGCCCAAGTACAAAACGAAGGAGCGGCTTAAATATAAGCTGATGCAAGCCATACAACAGACGGAAGGATTTTCCCTTGTTTAAGTTATTCGCTTGATACTCCTTTGCAACGTGATCCACATAGAGATAATCTAAATGAATATTTTTTGGGTTCCAAGTATTTATTTTGTACAAACTGATAATAAAATTAATTTGGAAGAACGCTTGAATATGTATATTTTGTACAAAACGCATTAGTCGAACATAAATGTTTACGTAAATATGGTCCATTTTTTTTCAGCATTTGCGGTAAGTACGTAATCCCTATTTATTAGATTTTCAACGTTGTGTATTTAGTATTCAGTAAATATCAGGACATTTAAGACATTTTAGAAGATTTTGAGAAAGTTCCTGGGGCTATGTACTGTAATACATCCATTTATAACGGAAATTTATTAAACTAAACGGTGACATATGACAACTGACATATCGACTCATGCAACGAAGACTGTAGTAAGTCATTTTAGAAACTTTTGAGAAAATTAATTTATAAGTATAAACACTGGTTAGCAGTTTTTAAAATATCCAAAAATAAACTGTTGAAAACAGAACTTTTGTAGGTATGTTTATTTAAATGCAGTTCCCAAAATGTATCTCCAAAAATTACATTTTTTCTTAATATACTCTGTTTTTTATATGAGGTACTGCATTTTTCGTCGGAACAATTTAGGGAAAAAATGACATACGATCATTTTAAGAAAAACATTTCGATACGAACTTTATAATTATTTATTTCTACTCAAAGTCATCTTCTTCAGATTCGCTGTTACTCGAACTTTTAGAGTATTGATGTATATAATTCTTCGCCTGTGTTCCCTCCTTTAACCGCAAAGAAAAAAATAAGTGATGGTACAAACGCGCTATTGAAGGTGGATGACCTGTGCCAAGCTCTAATAAACCTTTCAATTTCTTACTATCAACAGGTAGAGAAGAAGTATAAAGTTTCGGCTACTCAGTGGAATGAGTTTGAAGTTGACTACGCCTACTTTTTTTCAGACATAGAATTCTTGGGGTTTCTGCAAAATCGTATTTAATTTGAACAGTATTGGGTTCTTCTGGTAGCCACGACAATTGCTGCATTTTATTAATTTTTACTGGATTAAAAGTTTCGTCCATTCTTCAGTTCTGATTTTTTACCATGTCAGAAAATTTTACAAAGTTTGCTTTGGACATTTCTTTTACTGTGTTGGGTTGGCTAGTTACTTTCGCCATTTTTATTAATGTGATCCATTGACTGGGAGTATAGACAGCACTCTGTCGCTTGCATACTATCACCTTCATTCTGGGTATGCCCCTTCTCCTAAAACCTGTGTGTTCTTTATGTTAAGAATTTTAGAAGCATACGCAAAAATGGAGAAATAAAACAGTTTCTATTTTGCCCTCCACAATTGGAGTATAAGATCGACACTTTCAACCCCTTTAGTTTGTTATATCCTCAGAAAGTCTAAGAAGCAACTACTAATTTCATTTGGTCCCCATTTCGTCATACCAAACGCAACAGCATCCTTTATTGTTACCTATGTTGTAGACTGTAAAATTATAGGTTGCAATTTTACTTTTATAATAAACTGTATTTACTTCTGATTGAGGGGTAACTGATACCTTTTGCAGGTCAAAACACGCAACACAAAGTTTTATCCTCAGCATCTAGTTCTTTATTCACATCTTTCAATTTTCGAACTGCAACTTTGTTAGCTAAGTGTTGATCATATTTTTCTTGCAATTTCAGTTTTATGTCATTATCAGCATCTGTATAACCCGTGCGTGGTTGACACTGATCTTTTTTTGGTTTAAAGAATGTTATATTGAATTCTGAGTTGAAAATTTCACGATATTGCCGTTCACTTGCAGTCTGTACTGAATTGGTTTCAATATGCTCTTTGTACATTCTATACATTTTACTAATATTTAAACCATCTTCCAAATACATTTTCTTTGAATGTTTTCTATTATAATGGGAAGGAACTAATGGAAATAATTTAATATCAGTCCTCACACTTTCCTTAATATCTTCTGCAATTTTATTGGGTCTTACAGTATGGCGTCAATGCATATCTTTTTCTAAAGTGCCACCTTCTACAATTTTTTTCAAGGCAGTTGTAACCCAGGTGTCCGATACACCCAGCGTGTATGGCAAAAAGAAATTTGAAGTGTTACCAAAATAATATTATTGCTTTTGTATCTGTACTTACCAGGGTCAGGTTGTTCACTACTTTTCTTAGATAACTCGATAATCATTTAATTATATTCATATTTTAAACTTCAAACACTCTTCACACAAAGCTCAAGCAAATATTTATGTAGGTACATAACCTCAAAAAGTTATTTACGAAAATGCAAACAATTCAAAGAAGACACAGCACTATCTAGACATTTTGCAAAGAAAACTGTAGTAACTCAATATATGACAAATAATGTTTAAAAATATGAAAATTATGTAGCGAAGATTACAGTAACTCAACTTAATGCAGTTATCGTTGAAAATGTGGTAGGTTATTTAAGATACTTTAAAACTGAATTGTGTATTTTAAGTTGCCTATACAGCCGCTAGAGTTACTACAATATTCTATGTTGCAGTCATGATACTATGAATAACAAGATAGGATCTTCCCGTAGCTCAAAATCGGTCGGGTTCGCGCATGCCGTCATTGGAGACTAGAATTTGAATTCTTGTTAAAGTTAAATGAGATTTGTATGCATTCTGTGATGGAATTACTAGACGAAAATAAGTTAAGAGGTTTAATAATTACAATAATCGTACACATAAGGATATCTCCAAAGTATTTATTAAATATTATTTATTGATATATACAAAAACTGACATTTCGAACGTGCAAGTCTCCAATGACGTCACAAAAACATGCGCAATATCTTATCTTATAGTCATAGTATCATGGTTGCAGTTACAGATAGAATAATTCAGAGGAAGATAGTAACTCCAATTATAACAAAAGTTGAGTTACTGCAGTGTTTATTCCATGAGTCCATATGAAAGGGGGTAAATGTAAAATTTATTGAAATATTTGAGAAATTTAAAATATTTTTTTCTTGTTAATAATATTCGTAGACAAAAATAATAATAATAAAATAATATAACTAATGTCGTGATGACTGACGTACTATTACTTTTATTTACTGTTGGCACTAGACACGGTCGTGATCAAGACCGTGTAATATCATTTAATTTGTCTGTGTATCTGATTAACCAAATAATTTCGTTGCATCGAAATATAAGTTTGAAAAAATCTGGGGATTAGTGCAGCCAAAATTGAACTTAAGAGAACAGAACTGATACGTATTTGGATTCGGTATGTAAGGAAAAATCTAAAGCCAGAAATTATGATTTTGGGCATCATTACCATCGTCACGGTCAATGTTATTAAACTGTCCTAATAAATCACTTTGTTCAGCAATTGAAATATTCTGAAAGCACTTTAGCTTAGCATTCTAGAAAACACTCTTAGCTTATTAGCAACATCTCTAAATTTCCCATGTGTTTTACGCTTTTTCGTTGATTTTTCTTGATGAACACATTTATTTTCGTCACCGTCAGACATTTTAAACACTAAAACTTTCACAAAAAACTTTTAAAACCGAAGAATACTGCCGCGATGACCTGCGTGTAATATCGAATTTCACGGACTGTGTTGGTTATTCCCATGTTTCATGTTGACTATGTTTACGCAATAAATATTTAAAACCTTGAATACCTCGTCACTACATTTGTTGTTTCCCTTGACGATTTTTCAAGATAAAATACACGATTTTTTTTTTTCGTTTTTTGACTATGTTGGTTTTTCCCCTGTACCCTTCAATTTACATTGTTTCAATGCAAATAATTAAATTAAAACCATGTGATGAAATGCAATGAACTTCATGGACATTGACTCAGTTAACATCAACACATTCACAAAACATTTATAACAGAAATGTATAATCAAAATACTGACATTTTCTGTCAGTTGAATGCCGTAAGTGTCAAATTTATTGGGAGATTTGTGGTGAAGGGGTGTTTTCCATTTCTCATCTTTCTTTGGTTTACTGCGGTCTGTTTATCTGTGGAGTTATTGCAGCTAAAAATGGAACAGAAGAGATTTACAAAACATTTTAAAGGTTTTAAAGAGACCATGAACGCGTCATACATTTTTAGTTACAGTTTATTTTATTTCTGGGCCGATTTCTTTATCGGCCTCCGATTTTACTGTTTGCTTTATATCTTTTTCCTCTACGCCCCCTACACTCCCTTTGTCGCTTTCGCCAGTTTCTATTGTTTTTCTCCTTATTTAGAATTGAGTAGAAGCATACCTTCCATATTTCTTTTATCTGTACCGATTCGTATTCTGTTATTATCTTCTTGTTTTGCATTCCTCTCGCTCTACTCATTAACGTGGTATATTCGGTTCTAACATGCCATTCATATGTTTCATTTATAATGGAAATGGATTAAGCAAAATACTGACATATGACAACTGACATGTTACATCATTTCAAGCCAAAGGCAGACATTTTGTCACGGCCCATAAACAACATATAGTTAGAGTTTTAAAAGTTAAAATTGTCGTTACTTTTATTCAATACATTATTATACTGGATGTTCGATAGACATTTTATTGATATTAAAAACAGTAGGTTAGTTCAAATAAAAATTATATAGTAGGTTTTTATAAATAACCTGTCCATAAGCCTTTTAATATAATATTTAATCACAATATTTTCATATAATATAAATGAATTAGAAATGCGGTATTAACTCTTGGGCCATCTATTGGAAATCTAACAAAACTGAATATTTTTGGCGTTCACTTTGCAATTATATAATTAGATATTGTACCGGGTGTTCCATAAAGATTTTATGATATTTTATTATTACTAATAAACAGATTTATGTAAAAATAATTAAATTTTACAATAATTGTCCCATATATAGGAGTATATTGTCAGATCTGTATTGAAAAACCACTAAAAGATGTGGTTATGTTCGACTATTGTGATTTATTTTTGTGACAGTTTTATTTAATTGTTTGTTAATGACGATCACGTTACTGAGGATGTCCAAGAAAGGTTTTTTATTATTTTTTAAATGGATAGATTTGCTGACTTTTATAAAATGAAGTAATTTTATGGTAATCCATGATCATTTAGTCAGATTGAATACTTAACGGTCAACAAGCGAAGTATACGAAATTTAGAGGTCAGTACGTTCCAGTTGGACCGTTTATCGCAACTGTTTT